TTGTTCAATCACGATTCGTTTCGAATCGAAAGGAAATTTATCAATGTCGTTTAATTGAGAGCTGCACGATCACGATGATCGGTGAGCATGATAATTATCCGTGAATCATCACGGTTTATTCAATGATCTACATCAATGTTGATACGTTAAATTCGATGGTGGATTCGATGGTGTAACGCGTAACGAGATTGCGTTCTACTAACATTGTGCGATGCACGCCCCTAATTCCTTAGTTTACTAGCGATCTTTACCCTTCATTTGTCTCGATCAGGATATCAGGGATACGTGATCATGGTATGATTTCGAGATTGATGGCTCTCGCTGCCATGCTTCTATTAAGTAGAATCATCTATGGGAATATTATTCAACAGGGTTGAATTTTTAAACCCGGAGAAAAGTGAAGATGGAAATAATTAATTCTTTCTACTGTTATAATTGTTTTCCTGGTCTTTCCTTTTCCTGGATTAACTCCAATTCTTAATTTTCTTCATTTATGTTTTGTTTCATTAATGTCAAGCGTCATAACAGAGATGGAGTCACGTTCTCATGGGGTGAACAATTTCTAAAAGAATATCTAATTAGTTTCCAGAGGAATAGTTTACCTCCGTAAAGAAGCAGTGAGGGGAATTATTATTTTAAATTGTATAAAAAAATTTCTCAAAAGTTTCAGAATGGAAAATTAAAATTTTCTATTAATAAATGGAAAATGTTACGCGCAGTCTTCTAATTCTTCCATTTTCTCTCTCTCTAAAAGATTCCACAAAAAAGATTGTTTCAACAAAAATCTCGATATAATTTTCATCTTATTCAAAGTTACGTGAGATTTTGTTCTCACGTTCCCCAGTTTTATCCACAAGGAACATTCCGTGGCTCGATCGTGGAGCAACCTTGTCACACTTTTCTTCGTCAATCAGATCCAGTTTCCTCGACATAACCTCGAAGTTTCATCGGGATCTCGGTTCTTGACGGATCTTGATTCATTGGATATCGATCGAGCACGGATGTTCGTACCTTGTAATTCATTAAAATGGTCATGGATTGATAGTTTTACCCGACGATTTGCCATTGTATCAAGTGACGCGGACGAAACGAATTCCATGCAGGAAGATACCCGTTATTCATGGATCGTTGCTTCCGTCATTCCAATGCAACGACGAAGAACGTTCGAGTTTCCTTTAAATTTGTTTCTTATCGATTTACTCGAGAAAAAGGAAGTTTTCAGAATGAAACGATAACGAAACAAAGACTCTGTTTCCAGAAAGAAAATTACAGTACTAAGAAAAATATAGAGAACCGATGTTTGAGATTTATCAAGAGGAATGATTTATTCACACATTTTTTTGGGAATACTAAAAATTATAATTGACTTGAATTGGCTAATGGGTTAATTTTTAAATAAATTTTAAATAAATAATTTCATCTAAGTGAACACCGAGTTCAGAATAAAAGCTGGTTAATAAATAATCCTTTTCATTTTCAGAATAAAATATTTAGAATATGTGAGAATATGTGAGAATTTACGTATCATTAAATGATAATGAAATGGAAACAAAGAAGATATTATTTCCTTAATGAATATATTTTGTCAATGTATTAGAATACAAGCATAAGCATCAACTCAATTTCGAGAAAATTTTGATCCATTCGAAAAATACTAACAGTTCCTGATTTTATCCAAGTATCCTTATTTCTTTCCTCGCACTCTCCTTCTAATTAATCCTTCAACTTAATTACCTCGAGACAAGAAAAGAGGGAACGAGATTATACACAACGCTGACAACTTTTCTTTATTCAAAGGAGCGCTCGCTCTCAAAAGGGACATTGAAATACGATAATTAATTTTTCTTTTTTATTTTTTTTTATTTTTTTTTTTTTTTTTACAGGAATAATTGACCCAAATAAGATCCGTTCGCAAATAGATATTATTAAGCGAAACAATTCCAAAGCGTGTCTTAAACGAGAGATAAATCGCTTCCGCGGCTACGTTAGTTTCCTCGTGTTCAGAATTATTTATGTATCCGAGGGGGGAAGTGGAGGCCACTCTCTCGAAATGCAAATGAGAATTTTTCGACACGGTCGGGTAAAGCGTGGAGAGGTTTCGCCTGAATTTCCAAAGCGCGAGCTTTACATTTAAAAAATTCGAGGGATTTACGCACTATCCTCTTCCTCCTTTCTCTCTCTCTCTCTCTCTCT